GCAGACACCATTCGCTCTGACAAATTGCGCTGCAGGGGAACAGGAATTTAAAAGATCGTCACGTGAGCCTCCTCATATTGTCAACCACCCCTTCTTTCCCCCGCCCACCCTCTCTCTCCCCCACTCTCTCCCCCACTCTCTCCCCCTCTCCTCTCTCTCTCCTCTCTCCTCTCTCTCTCCTCTCTCTCTCTCTCTCTCTCTCTCTCTCTCTCTCTCTCCTCTCTCTCTCTCTCTCTCTCTCTCTCTCTCTCTGTGTCTCTCACACACACACACACACACAGAAACACAGACATTTCAAATGTATATAATATAAATGTAATCGTCGTCACATCATCATCATCATCATCATCATCATCATCATCATCATCATCATCATCATCATCATCATCATCATCATCATCATCATCATCATCATCATATTACTACCTGTAGGCCTGCCATATTTATGTTTCCGGAGTTAAATAATCCTGATCATAAGAACTTCCCCCTCTTCTGACTGCATTGCCATGGGAACCACACATTTTTACCTCTAAATGTTCACCCTTCTGTTCAGGAGATGTGGCACATTGTAGCAGAGGTTGTGAAGGATAATCTCTGAAGCTCAGGTATGACACACCACTGATCCATTTTAGCCTATGAATGCACTGCTATGGTATCTGCGTTGTTTTTTAAAGGTTTAAAGGTAAATTGTCCTCTGCACCTTCATTGTTGCAAACAGGTATGTTGACATGCCTTCATTGCACCCTTTGTTTACTCCACCTATTCTTCTCTGTTGGTAGAGCTGATGCTTACTATTATAGATGATTAGCAAGAATATCATGGGCAGAAACATTTCTTTAGCCTTGTACGCATTTAAAAGAGAATAAAAACGTCTCATTTTACAAACTGTTGCAAATTATTGATGTGAAATATGAGCACAACCAAGAATATCCATGACAATAATACTCTCAAAGTACTGTAAAGATATGCATTTGTATTTTATTTATTTTTTAAACAAACATGTTAAACGGTTTGTGTCTAAAAATGAATCCGGCTTGTTCAGCTCTAGATGTGTTTCTTGCAGGGAAAAAGCAGATTTAAATTCATATCATGAAGCAGATTTTCAAAGTGTTGTACTGACGGGGGCTGAGCGTGTTTCCTGACAGATACTGTCATCTGGGTGCTTCATCGTGTTTTTAACAGTCCATGGGACTCGGTTTGTGCCTGTCACCTCAGTTTTTCTCAGCTCAAGAGGGAACAGGCTTTTGCCTCACAGTGAGGTGACTCCAACCTGCAAACTGCCACACTGTAGAAGCCCTCTGCACTTCATTTCCATCTGCACCACAAAATATCATGCATATTTCAAGCTGACAGGTGGGACGGCATTTTTGACAGCTCTAATGTCTATATTCTGCCACATACAAAAAAGATAAAAGGGATTCGTAAAAAAATCAAACCAGGAATAATCACCACTTACACTTTATAAAAGCTTTAGGTTTTCAGTAATGGCTGCAAATGGCTAGTCATTATTTTTGTGATTGATGGATTACATAAATTAACACATATTAATTTACGGCACTATCACCTAAAATAAAGGATAACCACTGGCTTATAGTTTATTCAGTCTATTATGAGTTGTACTGTTAAGTTAGACAAAACAATGAAGATATTACATTGCACAAATTAGGTGGAACAAGTCAATCTGAGGTTCTCAATTAACATTTACAAAGATGAGAAAGATGTCTACAGTGATTATCTCAATCTAGGAATATCCATTCACACAAAGGTAGGTTATACCCTCATGTTTTACCAGTAATGTCATGAGAAATCAGCTTTGATATCTTTGCTGGGCTTGTGATGTACAAATATATTTTCTGGCCATTGAACACAGCATGCACAGCTGTCTTCTCAGGAGTAAAAGCCCCAAAGGAGTTTTTAGATGGGCACTACAACGTGTGTTTGTATCTGTGTTGTGTTCAGCAAGTCTTGATATGAAAGAGAGACAGCGAAAGGGTTAGTGACTTCCTGTGTTATGTGTCTCACTGCATCACAATGTATTTTGTATCTTTGCAGTTCCGGTGGTCTTAGTTGTTTGTTAGGCCTCATGTATCACCCGCACGTCTGAGGAGAGCAGACACTTGTGACACATCAGCTGTGACGGAGAGGCCTGCTGGAGGGCCAGAGTGGCAGCAGGGTGGATTTGGCTTTTGTTTGTGTTTACCACAGAGAAGTCAGTGGAGGTAACCTTTCTGCTGTCCCTTCATCCCTCCCACCGTCCCTCTGTTCCTCACCCTTACCTCTCTCATCAGGCATCTCAGGGGGGAAAGCCTGGGAACTGTGACTTCACTGTATTAGTTGCACAAAGATCCATTGTGAGATCCTTTTACTATTTATTTCTATAGAACAAGAGTGGGAACTGCTCTTGTTTCCAGACCCAATGTGTAAAACAAATCCACCCTGTGATACAGTCTGCAGGGGCCTGAATGCTGTTATAGAATAGATAATCATTTATTAGGGGTGAGGCATGCAAATTAATGCAATATAGGTAAGCAACAGATTTGACATCACTTTATTAGATGTCAATGTCTACAGTTCACTTTTTACCTTTAAATTAAATATTGCATGTGGAAGTGTCTAGAGTTCATGCTGTGTTAAGAAAAAACACATTAGTGAGATTTAATTTGAAGGTGATCCACTAAGTGTTTATCAAAGCTGTGGGAAATAAGACAGAAGATAAGCCTTTAGGGCTGCTTGTTTCTGATATTGTCCTTCTTATTCAAACAGAGGAATCTTTGTACAGACATGTGCAACCCGTTCCAATAAATCTCATAATTGCACCCTTTTAAATGTAAAAGATCTTTGCCCTGTGGGAATCTTGAAATAGGCAGCATGTGAAACAGGTTCAGCACTGATACAGAAATATGTAATTGCAGCCTAATGGGATATACTTTCCATTATGCGATATACTTATGGAATAATAAAGTCAGCAAACTAAGAACATATACAACAAATTAGTGCTCTTCGGGATCCCCATTAAAGTTGTGTAGTTCGATCGGCTCTACTTTCTGATAGCTGTAGTGATACATGTATTAGAAGCATCATAAAATGGCTTGAATGGCACATGACTGTGGACAAATATGAAGTGGATTTCAGGTTGTGTTCACCGTTATGTTTTCTTTCCTGTCAGTTAAAGGTTCTGAATACAGTATTTTGTAATAACTGATTGAAATGAAGAACTATGAAATGCAAAACACTGAAAAGCGCAGTCTGTATATTCTTTGGATGCCGTTTTACACTGTGGTTATTCAACAATTGAGCACTCACGCTGAGAAAGAGATATCTAATTGATATGCACATTTCTTTCCAGAGAGGTATGCTCCTATCGCTGCACATGTACTTCGATCCTAACAAGTATTACCACACTGAGAGAAGGATCTGAAGAATAATCTCAGTGAGGGTCCTCTCAACATTCAGGGAACATCCCAGTGTGAAATCCCACAGGGTTTATCATACCTGAAAGCTTTGAGGATATTCCCCCATTCTTCCCTGAATATCTTTTCTCTACATTGCATGTTACTACAGCTGATGTGAGGATAGAAGCATCTCCCCACTTCTACCTGTATGGATAACACCTGAATTACACATAAGTCAAACAGGACTGTGTCTGTTTGATGTTCTGTCAAAGCAGCAAACCCAGGAATAGCTCTACTTTTTACTTTGAATTTATTTTCATTGTCAGCCACTGTCTTTGCTTATTTTCTGTGTTGCTAATGTGTTTATCATTGAGTCCTCAATAGTTTTGAAGAGTCTGCTCTGTGCAACCCTGGCCATCTGTTGTGCAATACTTTTTGTTCCCTGACATGAACACACGCCCACGTGTCTGTCATACTTCGCACTTACTAATCAGTTGGAAATAATGAAGAAGTTGACCTGAATAAAGTTAGAAAAATTACATTTTCAATAAAAATAAGTAGTTTGTGTACAGTGTGGAGACATAACTCAAGAAAAGCTATGTTGTTCCTTGTCAGAAGAAGACCTGCAGATAAAACATTTAAGAAATATCCTTTAATCCTAATTAAGTGCTTTGAATTTAATTTAACCACAGCGGATTAGAAAACTGGTAAATATAAAAGCTTTTCTCTTTATTTTATCCACAGGTGTTTGCTGATAGATAGAAAATACAAAATGAAAGCTGTTTCTTCCACTGCCCAGAGGTTCAATTAATCACCCAAGGAAATGTAACACAGAGGAAAATATATGTTTTCTTATCAACACTCTCTACATAAACCAATCACAAATGGATATTATTGGAGACAATTAAACAGCCAAGATGCCTGAACTGCAAACGTGAGAGACTGCACTTTGTTTCATCTAAAATAACATCAATCACAGTTTATTTCGCTATAACTACTATTATACACAATTCAATAGTCACAATCTCGTTGCAAATTGTCACTATGAATAGGCTTACTGATGTGATATAAATTAAATCTCCTATAGCCTAACTTGTTTTGCTGTCTCCTTTGTATTTCCTTTGATCAGTTTGTAGGGATAAATTGGGTTTGGGAGATGTCTTTTCATGTAGGCTTCTATCTGTAGTATTATGTTCCTTAACTTTTGTTGTTGAATGTTTGAAGGTGGATATTTTTTCTGTGTTCTCATAGAATGGCTAACTGTCCCTGGTTCTCCCATTTAGCTCAACATATTATATCATGGCGCCCTCTGTCGATCACTTCGGGGAAACACGTAGAACTACCCGGAAGTAGTAGCCAGTGTTCTTCCATGCAGTGAACATGAGAAAAAGGAAATCAGGGGATTCTTGCTTTCAAAACAAAACAGCTTTTTTTAAACATAGGCTAAATTGTTTTGCCGGATACTTGCACATTGGCGAAGGGTGGTCAAATTAACAAAGAAAGAAAGAAAGGAAGACTATGTTTATATGCATTGATTTTGTATGACCATGTATGATTTTGAGGATTATTTTTGATATTTAGTTTCCAGAAATTGTCTAATTTGTGTCCGATTAAAATTGGGGAGATGATGCTTTTATTCTTTAGGATTTCTGCCGGAAGTGTCGTCACTGTTGTTGCTGCTGAATGAAAATGTTTTCGCCTCGTGTTTGACAGGTTGGTCTGACTCCAGTTTGCAAGTCTAACATAACTAACTGTTAAGCTATTACAACTTTTACCAGCAGCTGCAACAGTTGAACCAGGGTTTTCATCATATAAACACGTATTATAATGCGGCAGCGCTTTAATGTAAAAGCCATGTCTGTGGCTCACGTCTCAAGATTTAAAGTGGTAACAACGTATTAGCTCCTTAAAGCTAACGTTAGCCTGATACATTAACTTGTTTAGTTGATGCTTGTCAAGCAATAACGTTACAGGTTTATTCAATTTGTTCACGCCAGCTAAGCTTACTTACGACTACTTGATTGACAGACAATATTTCTGTATAACACGTTACTCTCTTTCAAATTACTCTTCTCTTCTTGGTCTTGAGTATGAAAGAATATGCAGTGTTAACAGTGTGTGTTTGTGTTTCTCTGTCTCTCTGTTTCCAGGTGTTACACGTGAGCCTCTGAGTTTGGCCCCAGCTGTCATTCATATCTTCCAGTTTATATCTCTGTGTCTAGTGAGGTGCAGCCTATACATCCTCATACAACATGTCCTCCCAGGAAGAAGGGGATGCAGAGCCGGGCTCTTGCACATCCGCCTCTTCCTCCTCTGAAAATGATGCCCCCATTGGGGACGTCATCACTGTCACCATTGGAGCAACAGTGCCTACAGGGTTTGAGCAGACTGCTGCAGAAGAAGTCAAGGAGAAAATTGGGGTTGATGCAATAATCAGCAAAGATCGTGGTCGCATATACTTTCCAATAACGTCTGACAAGCTTTTCCAGGTAGGAAACCTGGAGACAATGCATGTCTTTGTTTGCTGTTAGAGCCCAGTGATGATACCGTATGTTAAACCCCTTTTAAAATGTTCCAGGTGTAAATAGTGTACAGATAACCTCCATCTTAAATGAACATGTCTGTCTTTCCTTCATTGATTCCTTCTCTCCTGTAGGTCCATCTTTTGAAGTCTGTAGACAACCTGTTTGTTGTGGTTGAGGAATATCATGATTACCCCTTCAAAGAATCAAAGGTAACACACGTTATTCTCTTAGCCAATGCATGGATTATCGCCATGGGTACTAAACACTGTGTTCTGTGCAGGAGGAGACATTGCTGGAGCTGCAGGAGCTTGCCTCCAATCTCCCCTGGACTAATGCCTTACAGATTTGGAAACTAAATCGCACCTTCAAAAAGAAAAAAGGCTTCAGGAAAGGTGGAAATGGAACCAAAGTAAAACCTACTAGTAGTGAGGCCACAGATGTCGCATCTGTGGCCTCACTACTAGTAGGTTGTAGTGTGGCTGATGTTGAGCAGCAAGAACTGCCTCCGGCGGGGTCCGCTGCTGAAAGCCAGACGAAGGCAGAGGCCACTGCTAACACGGAGGACAGCACGCCGAACTCAGAGGAGGCAGAACCAAAGACCAAAGTCATCAAGTTCCGTGTGACGTGCAACAGGGCCGGTGTCATACACAGCTTTACCTCCAATGATGCAGCCAGAGACTTTGGTGGGGGCGTGCAAGAATTCTTCCAGTGGAAAGCAGACATGACAAAGTTTGACATAGAGGTAGGCGTGCCTGTTCAGGCTGGACTGACTCAGTGAATAACATCCAAAAAACTGCCTGTTCTGATGCATTTGCAAGGCATAGCATAATATTTAGTCTAAGGAGTAACAAAAGATAAGAACTCTGCTGAGTCACATTTTCCATGAAGATAAGCCGTCCACATTATGTGACATGTTGAAAAATGCTTCATTGTATACAATGACGAAACGGTGCGTCTTTTCCTTGAATTCATTTTAAAGGTCCCATGTCATGGCCATTTCTGCTGATCATAATTCCATTGTTGAGGTATACTAAAATAGATTTATACTGTGCAATTTTCCAAACTCACATTGGTTTCTCATACAGCATCTCTGTAAAGTATGTGTATTCACCGGTATTCACTCTGTCCTAAACGGCTTGTTGGAGCTCCTGCCCCCCCCTCCCTGTGAGCCCAGTGTGCTCCGATTGGTCGGGACGTTGCGAGGCTCGCTGCTCAGTGAGCTGGCTTACTGGTGGGGTTTCCGGCTCGGCGTTACAGCGAGACAGCGCGAAACTCATCCTGAGCACACACAAACACTCACAGCCGAAGTAAAAACAATAAGTGTGGCTTGATATTGAGTAAGAAAAAGGTTTATAACGCTGTGAGCATTTCTCCGCGATCCCAACTCGTCTATTACCAACCAGGGAGCTCTATGCAAGTCAATGGGACTCCCTGTTAGTTGAAAATGTACGCTAAAGGTCCCCCCACTGCGTTTGATAGTGACGGTGTGTGAGGAGCTCCGCGGATTGGTCAATTTTTGTTCCGGGAACCGCATGACGACATGCGGTTCCCGGAAGAAACAAATGGAAAAGGAGAAATCTCCAACGAGGCGTTCTCTCGCTAGTCGCTACAGGGTGTACTTTGAGGGTTTGTGACTGCAGACCATTTACATGCATAAAAACCTTCATAACACACAAGGGGACGGGTAATAACCGGAAAAGCATGACATGGGACCTTTAAAGAACTTCACACGGTGATAACAAATTGTGGCAGTAAACATTTGAAGAAAAGCTTTTAAATCCCTGGTAGCAAACGCCAGGTGTGTTTTTACTTATGACACTAAATTCAGTTGTATTGTATTGTATTCAGGCTGAGCTTATTTAATTTGTGTTGAAATATATTTTTAAAATAATTTGATCATTCAGTACGAGTTTGTTTGGTAGCTGTGTGTTTCAGTTCACCAAAGATAATAGACTAGAATATCTACGTACTAAGAAATAATTCAATCATGTGAAAATTGGTTGTGATGAATTTTCTGACGATCGTTTCAGCTCTCAAGAATATAAAGATGTATTCATGGTCATTGATAATTGCTTTCTAATCATGCACTGTATGTTCCTGCACTGTAGGTGTTACTGAACATACACAATGTAGAGGTGGTGATCGGCATCGCACTCACAGAAGAGAGTCTTCACAGGAGGAACATCAGCCACTTCGGACCCACTACACTGCGCTCTACCTTATGCTATGGCATGCTCAGGTATTTATTCAACTCTGTTTTCACGGCTTTGTTGAACAAGGGATTTATTCGGATATGGTTGGGCTCCTGAATTTCTTTAAAGTTTGTATTGAAATAAGGAATAATTCTAAGTTTCTCGTTGATTCAACAACAGATTAGTCATTAAAAACACTGTCATGATGACACTTGCAATGAGGTGTACTTTGGACAGCTACCAAAGTGACTGATGTAGGAGGAAGAGAGAAAATACTGTCATGCTGCAACCTCATACCAACTGTAACAACAGATTGAATGTATTTTCCTACTCACTCACACAGATAGATACTTGAAGAAGAAGGTGCAAATAACCTAAATAAGTATTCCACAACTTGGTTAAATATAATCTTTCAGAGAGCTATGTCTTGTGCATTTACTAATGCAAAGCAAAGTTTAACACATGACAGAGAGACTAAAATGATCAATACATTAAACTGATAACTTTGTAATGGCATATTTCCAAAAGGCGTTGCTGGGACTGTGGAACAATTCTTCCAGTTAAAAGTAGATAACACTGATATATCCAATAACATCTCCCATGCCAAAAACAACTAATCTGTGTTTAGATAAAAATGCAAGTCACACCTGAGGGTTTAGCAATATTTTCCATGACGACACATATATCTTTTTTAAAACACCGGTTTATCAAAATAGTTTAGTTTGCCTAACACGCAGGGGTGGGGGTCTGTGCACCTTACAAACTGTATGCAAGTATAGTATATCTAAAGATAATTGTTCTTTTATTTTCATTCAGCATTTAGGACATAATAACTATAAGGGCACTTATAATGTTGTTAATGTCAAGAAAAGTTAAAAAAATGTAAATCTGCCTTGTATTTCCAGCAAGTTTATTTGCTCTGTAATTCTGCTGAAAGACTAACAGGGAAGTAATCAAAGGCAATTAAACCGGTACTTCGTGAAACCGAATTATTTAGTTTGGGAATTCCAAAGGGAGCACCCAAACCCATGACTTGGATGAAATTCAAGTGAAGTAACTGATGAATTGAATTCTAATTTCATTTGAATTGATGATTTGTGTAATGTAGAATGACTGGGGCTCTGCTTGGAACTGCTCAGTAATTAAACTTTTTACGAGACGTGTTTATTGTTCCAACACAAAACTGATGGTATAAGGCCTACGTGTAGTTATATCTGCATATCTTTTGTCACTAATGGCGCATTTCCACTACACGGTCGGCCTCGGCCACACTCGGTACGGCTCGGTACGGCTTGGCCGCGTTGGGCCTTAACAGGGCCGACTCACTTCATGCTGCGCTTCCATTACAGTTTAGGAACTGGGGTAGTTACTATAGTAACGCAGTGTAGGCGGAGCCGTGACGTCATCTTCAATGAGAAATCCAGAAACACAACACAGCCGTTAGCTGTGAGCACTCAGAGCTCACAGCTCCTTATATATGTTCAGAAACTCGACAAAAGTTAAACAAGTACACACCACAGACTGCCTGTGTCATGGTGAATACAGTCGCTGCTTTATTTATGTCTGTATAGGCCGTTGTTGTGAGTGTGGACGGTCGGGGCATATACTGCGTTAGCTTAGCCAATCTCCATCTAGAAAAACACGAATTTTAAAAGGTTTTTCGCCTGCCGTCTGTCTGCAGACTTGTCAAAGCATTAATTCATGGTTTTTACTAACCGGTATCAGTATGTTGTTACTTCGGCATCATTTTGAAACGTGTATTACAATTAAATCACGGTCAAATATGTCCATCTTGTTGTAGTTCTAGCCCTCTTGCCAGCGCTCCTCTCTCTAGTTTAGCATACTCAGCCCGACTCAGCCCTGTTTGTTGGCCCCGATAGAACCACAATTTTCTAGGGCCAGAAAAGAGGGGAAAAAGTGGCCCCGCGCCGTGCCGCGCCGGAACGAGGCCTAGTGGAAGCACAACCAAAAAAGGGGACGGCACGACACGGCACGCTTAAAGCGAGCTACGCGCTGCAATGGAAATGCGCCATAAGTGCTAAAATGAAATGAGGGTTTAATATATACAAGCAGTGCATGCAGGATGGTGTCAGTCACGACAAGAACGTAGGGAAGAGAAACAGCACAATTGGTTAATGCTTTATATTGACATGTATATAATGAACCTGTATGATAATCACGTCGCTTCTGTGTTATTTTCACACTTTTCTGTTGATAGGCTGTGTAGTCCTCAGGCGTCTGATATAATCCTGGATCCGATGTGCGGGACAGGAGCTATACCATTGGAGGTAAGTCATATCTTATGTACCTATACTACAATATTGCTTTGATGGAAAAACACGAAGATCAAGTGCAAAACATAAACACAGTATATATATTAAACCCTTTGCAATAACCTCATGATTTCTTAATATTCTACAGTACACAGCATCATTTTACTAGGGGCTTGCACTGAAAAATCCTCACCTCATTGCACTGCTCCACATAATGCTGCTGCTGTCTCCTGATGACATCAAACACATTTCACAAGCAAACTACAGACTTAAAACTTAAAATGTCAAGACAAAAAGTACTGTTTAAAATGGCCTTCTACCTGTATTTCAAAAACTAAATGTAATTATGTTTTTCATCACCAGGGGGCCATTGAATTCAACAAATCTTTCTACATTGCCGGTGACAACAATGACATGGCAGTTACCCGCACAGTCAATAATATATGTCACATCCAGAAACGGAGGGCCGCTAAGGGCAGGTGAGTGTGCACATCTCGACATCTCAGAAGTGGTAGTAATAAGAACAGTTATGTGCATTTGGTGATCTTCATACGGTTCTGATGATGCTTTTCCAATGTAATCCTTCAAAACAGTGCACCTGGAATGCCCATTGACACAGTGCAATGGGATCTGTGCAACTTACCCATGAGGACCGGCTCTGTTGACATCATCATCACCGACATGCCCTTTGGGAAGAGGTACCATAAACACGTGTGCAAGTACATGCTTGATTAAGTAGTATGTAGAAGTGTCGTTGAATGAGTGGATTTCTAGTATCAGGGTTAGAACATTTCAATATATAAATAGTTGTAGTCTTTTCCTGGTTTTAAAGGGTTCATTACCTCTCCAGTGGCTTCAATGTCCCAGTCAAGTCTAATGTTGACCTCTTAATGTCACCTCTTTGTTTTTGCTGGTTAAAAGATTTTTAAACAAAAAAATACTAAATAGTGGATTTATCTTTCACACTATCTGATAAAGTATCTCCTTTGTTTTCTTGAAGAATGGGCTCTAGGAAGAAGAACTGGGACCTGTACCCCTCCTGTCTGAGAGAGATGGCCCGTGTGAGCACCCCGGGGACAGGAAAGGCTGCCTTGTTGACACAGGACAAGAAATGCTTTACCAAGGTAAGCGCATTGCAAATAACAGGATTTCCAGATAAACCACAGGGCAAGTCTTGGCCTGCCTCCGTCTTCCTGATAAGGGATCATATAGCCTTTCATCCTAACCAGACAGTTTGCCGTAACCACTGATTCACACACCTACTTGACATGGAAACAACAACTGCCTCTTCCCCTAACCTCTGATGCTTTGTTATCTGTGGATTGTAAACGTGTTCCTTGTACAGAAGGGCACAATGCACAATTTAAAAAAACACTTAAGAACAATTGTTAATTTTCATCTTCACACGTGTACTGTAATATCAAAGGTTCTGCTTTGTCATTGTCAGGGAGTTAGACCTAGTATAAAAAACACATGTATAGCTCATATGTGACCTGCTCCATCAAAATCAGTCGCATTGACCCGAAGACACATTTTGAGTTGCATACACTGTTGGAAAGAGGAGATTCATAGCTTTCTAATAATATCAGGATTGTTTTTGTACTCCAAATATTAAGCAAAATATGTCACATTATATAATGACTCTCACAGTCATCATTTTGAGAAAAAGGCCTTCAAAGTTTCCTCTTTTCGTGTGTGTGTGTGTGTGTGTGTGTGTGTGTGTGTGTGTGTGTGTGTGTGTGTGTGTGTGTGGTGTGTGTGTGTGTGTGTGTGGTGTGTGGTGTGTGTGTGGTGTGTGTGTGTGTGTGTGTGGGTGTGTGTGTGTGTGTGTGTGTGTGTGTGTGTGTGTGTGGTGTGTGTGTGTGTGTGTGTGTGTGTGTGGTGTGTGTGTGTGTGTGTGTGTGTGTGTGTGTGTGTGTGTGTGTGTGTGTGTGTGTGTGTGTGTGTGTGTGTGTGTGTGTGTGTGTGTGTGTGTGTGTGTGTGTGTGTGTGTGTGTGTGTGTGAAAACACTCACGAGAAACACCGGCTGCTGTGACGTCAAGTTACTCCGTTCTCCGCTTGTATTTATGCCGTTACAAGCTTCAAAGTTGTATTTTTCATCTGATTTGCCGAAACAAGTTTAATATTCTGAAAGCCAAGACTTTGTTTATTTGAAATCAGATGAAAACAAACTGTCACGGATCCTGCCGTGTTATCTATGATTACTATACGCCTTACATTCATAATTTCAGCCGGAGGGGGAGCGGCGCTGCGGAACAGCAGGGTGCGAGTGAGAGCTGTCATCTTCCCTTTACACGCTTCAAACATGTATTTATCGTGTGATTTTGGAAATAAAAGTTTCATATTCTGAAAGCCAAGACTTTGTTTATTTAAAATCAAACAAAACACCGAACCCCGAAAAACTATTGTTTTACCCAAATCCATGTTTATTTTTAAATGAGCCGTTGCGACTTCCGACTGATTTCGATAGAGCGGGTCACATATTAGCAAGGCATATTATCTATAAATTCAATGTGTTTTTTTTTTTATATCTACATTGAAAAAGGACAGTACAGTTCTTAACAAATAGCTTTGTTCCAGTCAATGACATTGCTGTTGACCTTTGTGGTAGGCTATACGGGCTTTCCCAGATGAATCAATTACGTCAAATTGGGTTCTAATGACGTGAAAACAGTGTTTAGTAATTATTTATTTGTTGTCCTGTCATACAATCAATTACTTATAATTATTTGTGTATTACAGTAGGTTTTATAAGACATGATTAATCCAACTTTAAACAATCTAAAATGGTCCTCTACTTAGAGGTATGCATGCAGAATCCAATAAGCCCCCCATGAGTCATGGAAAACTACTTTAAACAGCTGTATTTGTCTAAGTTGGATATCGTGTTTTACACAAAACAACTGTCTCATTTGTTAGTTTGCCCTAACAAGATGAATGTTGTCTCCAGGCTATCTCGAGGATGGGAGGACTGTGGAGGAGGCTGCACACTGTTTGGGTCAATGTCGGGGGTTTACATGCTGCCGTCTACCTCCTCAAGCGGACCACGGGCGTGTTTGGCCAAACTCCGGAGGATGTCTATGAATCACGAGGAACGGTTAAAGCAGAGGGGGAAGAGAAGGGGGATGAGAAGGGGGATAAGGAGGGGGATAAGGAGGGGGATAAGGAGCTCTCCTAATTCACATCCTGCCTTGAAGTTCTGAGTTTACATTTGAGGCCATGTAGGTTCAGCATTATTTATAATTCCTTTACCGATTTTACTTTGTTTCTTAATACAGGTTCTCTTGTTAGTCTTGCCAAGCAGTTTTAGCATATCATTTTTGTATTTCTCCTTTGGTTTGATGCGATAATAAGATCACTGGAGAAAGAAAAGCTATTTTCATGTTCAGCAGCAGTTTAGTGGTCCCCAAACCTTTTGTTTGAGTGAAGCAGTTTATTTGTCATATTGCTGTTCAGAAAGCTGCTAAAAGTTGTTTCACTGCACGCCTCAGACCCGCTGTGTCAACTTTACAGGGACTGCACATTTTCATATTGGTCTGGTTAATAAAGATTCAAACAAAGTTGATGCTTCAAAGTCAATGTAAATATTCATCACATAATACAAGTGGTAAATCTGTGGTACATCTACAATTGTTTGCTTAGTTGAATGTGACCATGTATTATTATTATTTATTTAAATCTTTAATATCTACCTGCAATTCAGCACGTCTACAATCAGGGTGACTTTCCTCTGTTTCTCCATATTTGATATGCCATACTGAGCACACACTAGGTGATAAAACATGAGCTCATATTAAGTTGCAAAGGATAAAGCCCAGCTTGTATGACTCAGGTTTTTTTTACAGTAATAACTTGCGGTGTGAGTGCCGTGAACACTGGCATGCAGGATCTTACTTCCTTAAGCTTTTCAATTAACGATTGCCTAACAAAAGGGATTTTCCCAAACAAGGGGGGGGGGGGGGGGGGGGGGGGGTGCTAGTGACTTATCCGAGCGGCCCACTTCAGTACCGGCCCATCGGGATTCGTCCCGAACGTCCCGATGGCCAGTCCGCCCCTGCCGAGAGGGCTGTGACGTAGCTCTGGCTCATAATAAAGCCATGTGAGAGCAGACGGGACTCCATTGACTCAGAGCAGCGAGGAAGGTAAACACACGAGATGATCTGGACTATTTTTCTGATTTTCCAAGCTGTCCTGCTTTATTTCCTTCTCACACACAGATCGAGGTGAGTTATTGTTTTATTGACTTGTATTGTGGTGCTTTCTTCGTGCTCTAAACACGCTAATGAGAAATGCACCTGTTGACATTGAATCTTACGCGCCCTTGTCAAAAATATTCTCATGTGTTTTTGTTAACTGGTGCAAATGTAAGACTAGTCAGTGTGGTGACATATTTGTCAAACGATGTTGTCTACCACCTGAGTATGCTATTTTTCTCGTGATGTACGCACACGCCAAAACAATTTATTTTGTATTGGTTTGGCTTCTCCATTCAAAGGAATGCAGTTAAACTACTGCAGTGTGAAATATAAGTGTCCCTATTGTGCAGCTTTCCACTTCATTGAACTTTCAATTTCCATTGAGGCAATGACAAATGACGAAAGAATAATTTGTCAAGTCAATTTTACCTATCCCTTTTATTGTTATATTAAGTGATCATGTCATAATAGGCGTGACGTCAAATAAGTGACACAAACTAATGTTGAGGCAGACAACAAAGTAGATGCATGTGTAAAATAACACATCCCTATGTTGGTTATTGTCCAGAGCTGCATGTCACGTTGTGTCTCTCCACCTTTTAAAACTGTCAGTAAGATAAAGAAAGACAATCATCTTCAAAATAGCAAGTTGTTGAAAATACAATAAATCAATGTAACTTTATATTTGTATTTCATTGTCCCTTTAGATCCAAGAGCGATCCTCCTCTAGACAAAGGAGTTATCCCCTGGTTAGGCCATGCACTTGAGTTTGGAAAAGATGCTTCCAAGTTCTTGGACCGAATGAAGCAGAAACATGGTGACATTTTCACAGTGAGTAGAAAAGACCAACAGAGATGATGATCTGATTCATCGATGCCCCCTCTGTAAATATGATGTGAATACATATGATCCCCTAAAGATCTTAATACTTATAAAATAATTCAGCTTAAAAATGCTGCCTCTCCAAATGATACTGTAGATTATTGGTTAGACATTTAAGAATATGTTTATGTTCATGTAACAGCATGTTACGGATAACACCAAACGTTTACATCAGGATACCATGATGTCATGATTTTAAGTTATCCTGAAACAAAATACAGAGTTTTATATTTGAGTTGTACAAGCAAATACTTTAAAAAAAAAAAAAAATTGAATACTGCTCTTCATGAGAAAACTAATTGGTTTGCTTCAAAACTTTAAGAAATAACATACATTACAACACTAATCACAACAAAAAGTGCTAGGAGAATTTATAATGTTACAGAAATGCATGAAAAAAGAATTCTAGCTGCATTTTCTTCTTGCATTTTAATGTTCTCCACTGATGATGTGCAGGTGCGTGCTGCTGGACGTTATGTGACGGTGCTGCTGGATCCTCACTCGTACGACACGGTCATCAATGACTCGGACTCCCTGGACTTCACTCGCTATGCACAGGTGCTCATGGAGAGGATCTTCAACCTGCGGCTCCCTCATCATCAGCCGTCTAATGTTTCAGCCATGATGAAAAAGTAAGTCCTCATTAGTATGAACTCCAAACTGAAAGCTTGTACTGTCTATTTTCATTTTCATTTCTTATATAAACAGAGAAGCGAAATTTGTTTGTGGAAATCTACCACTCGAATCTTATGAATAGCATCACTGTGGATATTTCTGAAAACTCCCTTACTATTTTGGGAAATCCATTTTTAGGTCTTCTTGTTTCATTATTGCTCAGGCATCTATTGTATTGAGATACTGGCAGACATCAAAATAAAAACAAAGCAATCTTTATAATGTTAAGGTTTAAAAGATTGACCAATGGGCACACTGCTTTCTGGAAGCTCAGTCTGAGTGATAAGTTATGTGTCCTGCCGACCCCTCCTTTCTTTGTTCATCATGTTAACAATTTCCCAAATGTGCTAAAAATAAAACTCGGAGCCTTTTCATTACCTCCGGGAAAATATGAAACCTAAGTCAATTGGCTAGGAAGTCAGGTCACCACATCAATGTGACAGGATTTATAGGATTTCCCCTCAATGGAATGCCATGTATTTACTTTGTCATCTCAACCTTTTTGTGTCCACAGGCACTTCATGGGAGTGAATTTGGCCGCACTGAACAGCACCATGAGCAGACACCTGCAGGCCTCGCTGAAAACTGAGATGCCTCAGAACCAGAAAGACTGGAAAGAGCAGGGACTATTCAACCTCTCCTACAGCCTACTTTTCAAGTAAGTGTGCCCCTGTCTCGCCCACACACACTCTTGACTATGTTAAAAGAAGCATTTACGTCAAAATGTTCCACTAAACAGTTTACACAGCCGTCAGTCCTGCGGTTCTCTGCTTGTAAACACAGCAAGAAAAATGTAGGATGATTACCATGACACAAATGTTTGAGTTCACCTTTCCGGTTGAGTATTTTAGGAGACAGGATGTGAACATAAACGTAGCTGCCCTTCATGTTAAGAAGTATACTTAGTAAACAAAGGAGAGAGTATCAGGAATGTAAAACACTATAAGGTAGTAATGTAACCCTTGACACATACACTCTGAGGAGAAGCTTCACCTTGTGTTGGCCAATGGAAAGATACCAGTTGAAAGGGGATCTCTTGTGTCAAATGAAATACCTGCGTGGGCTGGTTATCTTTCTGTCAAGGCAAAACAATGTCTGCATTCATCCATAGAGTACCACACATTCTCACACTTTTTATGTCTCCTTTCTCTGCAGGGCGGGGTACCTGTCGCTGTTCGGAGGGGAACAGAACAACAACGGCACCGATCCCTCCAGCGTCTATGAGGAGTACAAGAAGTTTGATGGCCTCTTGACTAAAATGGCGAGAGGCACACTGAAGCCAGGTAGTGATGCTGAACTCACTGTGCCTACAGATATCCTTCGGGGGTATCAGAAGCTCTTAGTCAGGAAGGCTGCAGTGACAGAAGTCTGTTAGTTACGATGCACCTCAAACTCCATGACTCAGGAGAAGACGTAACTTGTGTTTACACTGTTAACATTGGTCGCTAACATGGATTGACATCATCGATAGATATAAGCTCATTTCTATTTTGCAGTTGTCATGGCAAGTTTCCCTCACTCAGTTGCTTACGTAATGTCTGGTAGCTTTGTTTTTATTTTGAAGACTTTTACGATTCCCAATGTATCATCACAGACCTGATACAACTCGTACCAGCTTCTCACTGCATACACCGTATTCCCCCGAGCTCTTTGAAGAAAGGTCTTTCCTTGCGTGCTGTATCATTGTTTAGATTTGCTTTTGTTCTGTATTACACATGAAAGTTGGCCAATTGCAATACTATTGCTCTCCAGTCGAGCCTGTCCAGCCTCGGTATCTGTACGATCTGTTTATATATCAGGCCTTTCATTCAGATTAGGCTCCACTGCTTATGTTTAGCCTGACTCACTCCCTCACTGACGCTGTGATGGTTATCTGTTTTCAGAGGAGAAGAGGACAGCCCAGAGTGTGCGGCAGAGACTGTGCGGGCTCCTGGCTCCAGCAGGTCTGACTCAGGACTCGGGGGCCAGCCCCTGGCTCCACGCCTACAGGAGGCTCCTGCAGGAGGATGGGGCCGACGAGGAGACGCAGAGGAAAGCTGTGCTGATGCAGCTGTGGGCCACACAGGTGAGCAAGACGTTGAAAGACATATTCAGAATGTGCAAAGCGAGAATTTCAGTTGGTGATCACCTCCTGAGATTAGAGAGGCTGTCTGTCGGTTGAACTTGATGACACTCAGTCTCTGTGGTGGGAAAGTATCCAAGAACGTTTATTAAGAAGTACTGCACTTAAGTACAGGTTTGAGATACTTTACATGAGTTTTTCCAATATTCTGATACTTAATCGTTCTATTCCACGACATTTCAGAGGGAAATAATATACTTTTTACTTAGCTACTTTTAGATAACTGCCTTTACATAGTTATTGCAGCTGGAAATGAGATCTTAAATACAATATGATAAGCTTTTGAAATACAACACATTTTAAAAGATTAAACCAATGGTTCCTGACTTTTTTAGCATGGCCTCTAACAAAAACTTCAGAGGTAAAATTATCCAATACTTCACAAATAACACAAAATTAAGTATATTAGAAATGTGTATAATTAACATAATAATTAGTTAATTTTTCATGACTTATTTCATGCCTCCTCACATTCATTATTTATGCTGGATTAAACTACCTAAACAGAACCAGCTACTCCACCAACATCAACAGTTACATATTATGTATTTGCCTCAGGATTCATAATCCTTTATTTAATTAGGGTTTTTAATAGAGGACTTTTAATTGTAGTGGAGTACTTTTATTGTCTGATTCTGGTATGAACTACTTCCTCTACCACTGTGCAGTACTCTTATCTAACACA